TATATAATTCAAAATATAAAAAAAATTTAGAATTCAAAACTAAAAAAAAATTAAGATAAAAACTCAATCGACAAATTAATTGCATTTCTTACTACAATCATCCTATAGTGGACCACTACCAGTTCCTTCAGTAATATGATGCTCTGTGATATGCTTCGTGATATTTGGTCACCCGCAAGCATATCTCATCCTTAAGTTTATCAACCTTAATATTAGTTTCATTTATTTTAAATTTACTTGTTTGATTCCTTATTTGCAGCTTCTACATTATTCATTCTTTGAATAGGTTTTCCTTTAAATAATTGATTTCATCTTATAAAAGTTTTACTTGAGCAGAATACAACTTATTCAAATTCGTTTTTTCAGCTTCATGTCAAAGTTTTTTCTAACTCCTGTTTTTAGTCTCAAATTCCTCCAGTTTAGAGGTCAATTGTTTTCTCTATTTTGACAATCTTGCAATCCGAGCATCATCTTTTATCCCAAAGTTATTGAAGAGACACATTACCTAATGGCCTTTGAAGGAATGCACGAGGTTCCTGGTTGGTTTGTCAACTTTTTTTTTATAAAAAAATTTAAACTTTCATAGTGTTTTATAACTTGGACCCTTTTAAGTGGCCAGACCGATTAAATCGTAATCTCCAGAGTAGAGCAGTCTAATAAAATTTAAGATTGTATTTGTAATTAATCTGATGAAAATTAGTGTGATCCAGCTTATTCAGTGACTAGATAAGTGCAGCAGTAAATTTCTTGATCCAACTAGCAGTCGTGGAGCCAAAAATTTTGAGATGAGCCGCTAAGATATAATAAAAATTATGAATAATTATAAAAAATATAATATATAAAATATTTAAATTCTAATCAAATTTAATAAAACATAATTATATATTCACAACAATCGTGACAAAAATATTAACTTCTTATTTATTGTAATGTAATTCATTAAGAATGTATAATTTCAACACTAAAATAAATATTTTAAAATTATAGAATTTATAATTATAATATTCAAATAAAAATTTTGAAATTAAAAATACATCAAATAAATGAAATGAAATTTATTAAACAAATAGGATAATGATAGTCAAATATAAAATATAGAGATATGATGGAGACTAATATAAGTGTATATGGTGATAAATCTATTACATGTAATAAAATATTGACATTTTTAAATAGAAATTGGAGAGGAAATAAATTTCGTCTTAAATGATATTAAATTTTATATGGATTTTATTCCTTAGAGATTTTGAGACATATTTGAGACGAATTATATAATTGTTGTTTATTTTACTATATTTTGAAAATTTTATTCTAAATTCATGTGATATATTGAGTCGAGTTTGAGATAAATTTCAATTATAGAGACTTTTAAGATAGATTTAAAAAAAAAGTACATAATTGTTAATTATTTTATTATTTTGTTAAAATTCTGTCTCAAATTTGTGTAAAATACTAAAATGGATATTAGACAGAAGCTCATTAAATATATAGACTGAGATGAATTTTAAACATAATGCAAAATTGAGACAACCGTTAATGTTGTAAATAATCATTGAGATATATTTTAAATATAATACACAATTATTATTATTTGTAATGATTTTTTTAAAAAAATATTGTAAAATAATTAAGAATATCAATAATAAATTAAATAATTAATTAAGTAATAATTAAGAATGATGATAATAATTAGTTAAGTTTTGATATGTGAAGTGAAGTTGTATCTTATAGAATGAAATATAGATATAACGTTAAATAGTTGAGTCTGAGTATACCGTATGGTGTGAGACTATGACAACTAATTAGAATTGAAAGGAGATCTCAATGTTTATTTATGACAATGTTTACTTTTAATTTATCACTTGTGAAAAATTAATGAACATATTTTTCATATTATAATATCTAATGGCAAATATATACCATATATAAGGTTATGAGTTTTACTTTTTTAAAAAAACAATGGGGTGGTCGAGACCTTCCTTTGCCACCCCTTGTCTCCACCACTGTCGACTAGTTGATCTTTTTATATTTTTTTAATATAATGACAATTTTAATATTCTATTTTCATTTCTTTATAATTAAAATCAATTTCAAAATCCGATGGATTGATCTTTTTATATTTATTTTTTTGTTTATTGAAATTTTGATCTTTTTTCTTTTTTTTTTACAATTAAAATTAGTTTTAAAATCTGATTTTATTAATATTTATAATTATTTTAATTAATTATAATAACTAAATAATATTAATTTATAAAATTAAAATTTTGTCAAATTTTTAGAATGGAAACCTTCAAAACTATTAGGTTTGTAGTTGTACCATCTTCACCATGAATTATTTGATGTTTAATTTTTTCAAAGAATTATATATTCTGTAATTAGAACATTTTTCTTTAATACATTCTTCATTAAATTTATTTATTATTAACCATACAATACTTGAAAGTTAAAAATTAATTATACAATATACTAATACTATAAGTTTACAAAAAAAAAGTTATAAGAAATTATGTTACCAAATTATTATTTTTTATATTTTCACATTAGTTTTAGTATGAATCTCATTTTTTGGAAAAAAATGTTATCAAAAGAAGATTGAATTAAATTTTTACATTACTTTCAATATAAGTATCAACTTGCTTCAATGATATATGCCTCTGTCTTCGATCAATTGGTTAATCAAGCTAAATTCATGATGTTCTCTGGGTTCATAATTGAATCTAGGACTCATCATATTGATGCTCTCATTGGCTTCAGGGTTGGCTCTATTCCTTTCTCATATCTGGGGGGGTCCCTATTTTCAAGGGTGCTCATTAAGCTTCTTACTTTCATCCTTTGGTCGATAAAGTCAAAGTTAAACTTGCTAACTAGAAGTCTTCACTTCTGTCTTTTGCTGGTAAGGCGCTCCTTGTGAAATCTAATATTATGGCCATGCTGAGACACTCCTTCTCAAAGATGCTTTCAAATCCAAGCATACTATGAGACATGTCCTAACTTGTCCTAGTAAGCTTTAGAACTCTGACATTCCCCCGACCAAATTGTTTACTGTATGGAGATTGTGTCGTGATAAATTAGCTACTGATGACAATTTGAGAAAAAGAGGTTTCTCGGGTCCTTCCTGGTGTAGTTTCTGGAGGATGCAGGGAGAATATTCCATTCACCTCTTATTTATTTGCTCCTTTGTGTATCATGTTTGGCATGGGTTCTTGGTTATGATCAAATCACCCGTGCCCTTGAACATTATAGGATCCATTAAGCTTAAGAGAGTGAAACAGTTAATGTGAAGTGATTTTATAAGCTGCTATATGCTCCATCATTAATACTATTTGGCAAGCTCGGAAAAATAATCGTTTTAACAACTCTATCATGCATTGGAAAATTGTTGTCAACTTAATTTATTCGAAAGTTACTTTTAATTAGTAATAACTCTGCTAAATTTACCAATTCTTCCATCAACGACTTCACCATTATCAAGAGCTTCAGTGTCTCCATTAACCCGCCTCCTGCTCCTAAGATCTTCAAGGTCATTTGGATTCCTCTTGGAAGGGGTTGGATTAAGTGTAACATTGAAGGGTTGTTTGTTAATTCTCTGGCTACGTGTGATGGTCTTTTTTGCAATTCCATTAGGGATTTCTTGAGTGGATTTTTTGATTTAGTTCAAGGTTCTTTTGTCTTCCATGCTGGGCTTTAGGGTTTCATCAATGCTATTGACTTAGCAGTTAGGTATGGTTTTGAGAAGCTTTGGTTGGAAACAGATTCAAATTTAGTTATTCTTGTCTTCGAGGATCCAATAATTGTGCCTAGGACTTTAAAAAAAGGTGGCTGAATTCTCTGGTCTACATTAACCAGTTTGAGTTTCATTTCTCACATTTTTACGGAGGAGAACCAGTGTGCTGACTTGTTAGCTTTAAATGCCTCTCTAGTCGATCCTCATTTCGAGTGGAACACTCACTACAACATTTGTTGTCTCTGGCAACACTTTTTTAGGTAACATGTAGAAATTGTTGTCTTAAATTCATATAGACAACGATTTACGATTGTTGTCAAAAATATGTTTGCAACCCTTGATAATCGTTGCCTAAAATACTTTTGGGGACGTTTATGGAGCGATACTCTTTTATTTTTTTGCCAACGGTTGTTAATTGTGCCCTTAACTGCTTTTGGGGACGATTTTAGAGCGTTAAAATATTATTTCTTTTACAATGTTTGACAATTGTCCCCTAAAATATTTTTGGGGACATTTTTAGATTGTCACATTAGTTCTAATAAAAGGCTACATTTCTGAAATGTTGTATAAATTTTTTTAGAATTATCAAATTTTTGGTGGCAATGTTCCCTCCAGAACTTATACACTAAAAAACAAATATTTTTCTCTAAACATTATTAATATATATAAAAAAAATTATTTTTCTAACACAGGAATTTAAAAATAAAAAATTTCAATTAAACAGAAAATAAAAAATTATATATATATATATATATATATATATATATATATATATATATATATATATATATATATATATATATATATATATATATATATATATATATATTAGTCTAAAACTTATATATATTTCAATTAAACATGAATTTTTCTAACACATTATTAATATTTATCTAAAACTTATATATATATATATTAAAAAAAAATTTCATTAAACTGAAAATAAAAAATTTTCTAACACAGCAATTTAAAATATTTTTCAATCCATTCCCGTTCCATTCTTCTCTCGCCGTAAGTCATCTCTATCCCATTCCATTACTCAACTTCAGTAACTGCATCACTTTTCTCACAACATTTTCACTCTCGCTGAATCCAGCTCTCATGATTTCGAAGCAAGTTCGAGAAATCAAGCTTCGCGTAACAACGACTCCACTCGTTTATCGCTTACTCACTTCCTCGATCGCAAACTGCACAACTCTTCAACAGTCCCTCAAACCGTTCCGGTAAAATTCTGGATCCAAAATTACTCTTAGGGTTTCGGGCTGATTTAATATATATGGGATATGTTGAAGTGTGTTGATTTGTTTCATTTATTTGTTGTTCGTTTCGAAAGCACTTGTTTCTTTTCTTGGATGAAATTTTCTAATTTGTTTTTGAATAGGGGAAATTGACGCCTTTTCAATCACCGGCCAGTGAGCAAGATGGAAGCGTCGAACTAACTGAAGAAGAGAGAAAGTCTGCAACTATTGATGAGAAGTTGATTTTGGGAATGTTCAAGCAAGAGGGCAAATGTGACTTTGTTCCTCCGTTAGATCTTGATGAGTTAGGAAATTCTGTGGCAGGTGATGGTCAAGGAGCTAGGAAAAGGAAAAATCCATTTGAAGGTTTGGATTCCTATCCCAATGAACTTGAGCACGCGTTTTGTCTCTGTTATTTATTATTCTTATGGGAAAGTTGAAACTGTTATTTAGGGAAATAATACAATTAAAGTGTCCTTGTCTTTTACTTTATCGACTAGTTAGTGATTGCAAGTGAGGTTCTTTGTTTAATTTATTGATGTCATAGAGAGATGTTTGTTTCAGTCTATTTTACTTGGAATGGTCATGAAAAAAGATTTTATACTGACAACCATTTTAACTCCATTTTGGAAGATCAAGTAGGCACCATGTCTCTGATTTCATACTATGTATGCCGTTCATTGTCATATGCTTCTTTAGGAAACTTCAATGTATGCCATTATTTCAGATTTATTTGAGTTTGGTAGCAAGCAAGTATGAGTCTTGCACTGCTCTTAGGGTTTCATTGTTTGATTTTAAAGTTGGTTGGAAATCCTCTTTTTGGCCGAATATATTGATCAACTATAGATTATTCAGAGGAAGGCAAAAGAGTTATATGTATTGGGTACAGGGACAGGACAGCTGCATAAGACTGATTGAGAAGTTCAGATGGAGTTGTCTAATGCTAAACCCCCCCTTTTTTATGTACCTAGATTGGTGTCGAGACTCAAAAACCTATCCAGATAGATAACTTATGGTCAAACCAATAGATTATGCAGACCATAACATTATAAATTTCAGTTAAGGTTAAGACACCAAAAACTATAGTATAGGATGCAAACTTGTTTCTTGGGCTGTGGTGTAGGCATGATTTTGAGTGTAACTATTACATGATGCTAGTTTTCACCCAACGAGTATACTGATATTGGACATTTGGTATGAATGTGATAATTCATAAAAAAATATCCATGAAGGCAACTGATAATGATATTGGACTTTGACTTTGTGCATGTTTAGATTAAAAGTTCACCAATTTATTCTAATTATTAAAAAAAAGTGTTTCATTTCTTGATCTTGTCTTATCTTATAATTTATGTAGCGGAAGTTTATCTTGCCGGTTGAAGCACGAGATTGGATTGAGACCACTGTTAGAGAGGCATGGAGAAGATATAAGCACAAAATTAAGAAGAATCATTTTTTGAAGTATTGCAACATGACCGAGAGACTCAAAAATCGTCCGCCAAACGTGCCAATATTTTGAGTCAACATAATATAGGAAATTCCAATTAAGGATGTTATAGGAGAATGTTGAATTGATGTGTATATAGATATACGGTGTAAGCATTTATCATACAATGCTTCCAAGTTTGTGAAATTTATTCTTATTTCGTTTCAAAATGTGATTATGACTTCCATATATGTAATGAAAGGGGGTTTATGCATGCATAGATGTATGTTTATTTTGATGACATCATTATTGCAAAATACTGAGGCTTTCTCATAAATTGATTTTTTACAGTGGATTTCACTTTGTATCCTTCTTATTAATATGTTTTCCCCTTAAATTTCTTACGACAGAAACGTTTTCAAAATGATATGTCCATAAACAATAATGTGATAGATGTTTTACAAGATCAAAAGTGGGCACCTATGCCCTGGAAAAAGTTGCAGGTCGGAGATATTATCAAGGTGAGTTTGCAGTGTTCTATATGTTTTTGTGCTAGATTTAATTTTGTCTTGTATATGCTCCTAACTAGAACTTACAACCTCAAAAGAAGGGCATTATTAATGATCATTAATCCTATGCTTATGAACTTTCATTAGATGTTGGTTATCAGGTCCTCGGTGGCTGCAATCCTCCTAACATATGTTACGCTTTGTTGTGGCAGCACGTTTTCCTTCTGTAATTGTTAAAAATGTATTACAGATATTCTGAATGACATTGTAGGTGATGATGAATTCAATGAATGTTCCTTCCAAAAGAAGTACACTGGAGAAGAAACTTGACAAGCTCATACTCGCTCTCTTTGCAACACTCTTTATGATGTGTTTCATTGGAGCCATAGGCAGGTATGTCGGCTAAATAACCAGTTTGCTGGACCACTTCTAAACTGTTGCTAATGTTTTGGCAGTGCTAGGAAGGGTTGGAATTTGTTTTGTATGAGCTCTGAATTAGATTTATTGTTTTAATTACTGTTCCCAATACCAGTGTTTTGATGGATAATACATGACATGCCCACAACTTGAAATTGTATTTTTAGTTGAGTTGAGATTTAAAAATAAGTAATGATTATGAGTCCTACTATAAGTATTAAATTCATAAAAATTGTAATCAGTGTCAATTTTTTTATAAAAATCTTAACATAATAATAGCAAACATGTTATTATAACTGAAATTTTGTAATTACAGAATGGGAAGTTGAGGAATATGCGCTTTTTATATTTTAGTTTAGTTATATGATATGGTTTATTAGAAAAACAAGTGAAATTTTGAGAAAGCGAGGTAATCCCTTACATTGTAGTAGTATGTATTTGTGAATGATATTATTGGAATTTGTGAATTGCAGCGCTATTTTTGTGAACAAAAAATACTTCTATTTACATCTTGATTCATTAGAGGAGGGCTCAGCACAGTTCAATCCAAAAAACAGATTTCTGGTAACGTGTACTTCTTCTGTCAAGATAAATAGCCACCACTTCTCATTCTTTTTCTCTTAACTTATTTGCTAATTCCGAGTCTTCTGTTGTCAGGTTTTTATCCTGACTATGTTTACCCTTATCACACTGTATTCAACAATCATCCCAATTTCACTTTATGTGTCTATAGAGGTTTGTGTCTCAATCATTTGAATTTATACACTCCAAAATTTCCATGTCTTTGTAAAGAGAAAATGTAATTTATTTGTGTTATTGTATCAGATGATAACATTTATTCAATCAACTCAATTTATCAACAAGGATTTGGGAATGTACCACAATGAAACTAATACACTGGCACTAGCCAGAACTTCAAATCTGAATGAAGAACTTGGACAGGTAAGTAGCCACCATGTGTTTTGCTTGTAGGTGTAAAATAAATATTCTTGATTTAAAAGGAAGAGAGTGGAGAAAAGGTACAAAATAAGATATACACAAAATGGTGGAGGTTTGAAGGCAAACACAAAAGAAATAAAAGAAGACAGTAATATAAAAAAAGGTTTCTGAAATAATAATGACCTTTTAAGAAACTCGGAATAAAAGTGGTTTAGTATTGCAAACGGTTACATCTTCACCAGGTTCTCACTGTGTCTGAAGCTATCCTTTCAAAACCCCTTCTCGATGTCTCTCATGATTTAGTTATTTTCATAATGAAAGAAGTATTGTTTTCCCTTATTGCTTTTGCACTCCCGAAATGCATGCTGTTAGTTTCTATTATAACATGTAGTTAGTTTCTGTTTTAACAGCTCCTTGAATTCAGGAACCGTTCCCTTGATTTTAGGGAGTTAGTTTAGTCTAACTACAACTCGATAAATAGAGTTGAATCTATTGTACTCGGTAAGAATGAAAAAAAAATAATACATTCTAATTTTTCAATATCGTATCAAAGCCTTATCTAACATAATCAAGCCTTATCTTTAATCTACGTGGGATTCAGGTTTTCCAATATGAAATATAAATTGTTTTGAAGTTTCTGTATTTTTTTCTTGTCATATTTCAATGTGAAACAAACTGATTTATTAGGTGGAATACATTTTCTCTGACAAAACTGGGACCCTAACAAGAAACTTAATGGAGTTCTTCAAGTGTTCGATAGGAGTAGAGGTCTATGGAAATGGTGTGACTGAAATTGAGAGAGGACTAGCAGAGCGCAATGGCATGAAAATTGAGGTAGTACTCTTGTTGTGTATTGTAAGAAAGTAGATGACCTGTTTTGAAATAGTACAATTATGTCTTATTATTTCTCTACAGGAAAATAGACCGCCCCATACTGTGCATGAAAAGGGTTTCAATTTTGAAGATGCCAGGCTTATGAGAGGAGCTTGGAGGAATGAACCCAATCCTGATGCCTGCAGAGTAAATGATTTTGCTTTACTTTGAATTAATGGTAGCAGTTTATTTTATCTTTAAACCTAGTCTTGAGTTTTTGGTTTGTAAGTTTGATCCTTCATGAGTAAGGTTCTTATATACATCCATCTATGTTTTAAAATGGAAAATCAGTTGCCTTAATTCGTGCTTGCTTGTTGCATGTTATACATAAGCTATTGGTTCGCATTTATCCAAGAAATTATATGAGATTTCTCTCAATTGTAAACATCTCTCACGAGTTCCATATAAAGTTTGTATGTCTGAGCTGGATACTTAAAAATCTAATTTCTAATAAATGTATATGGTTTTATTTCATTCTATGTGTATTGCACTATCACCCTCATCTGTCATGGGTTGCATATAAAGTTTATATGTTCAGAGGTGGATACATAAAAGTCTGCAATTTCTAATAAATGTATACATTTATTTTATCCTATTTGTGTATTGTACTGTCAATCTGTCATGTTCTGTAATTTTAATCCCTGCAATTTCTAATAAATGTATACATTTATTTTATCCTATTTGTGTATTGTATTGTCAATCTGTCGTGTTTTGTAAGAAGATACAACAAGTAAGAGTGTTCATCAGAGTTCATTTACTCCAAAAAATAAACATAAAAGGATAGCACAAGTTATACATACATACATACAGTTAAAGGCTATTGTAAGTCCTGAATAGTGAGCCAAAAAGAGAATGGTTTTCATAATTGATTTATTTGCTAGTAAGCTCATGTCACCTATTACAGTTTAGAACGAAAATTCACATCCATTAAAAACCTTCATAATTAATTCACATCCATGAGATGTGAAGAATATAAACAATGTGTTTTGCTCATTGGTTTAGTTTTTATTTGTGCGAGGTTTAATTCTTGTTGATGTCTTAATTGTCCTTTGGACCAAAAATACTTATGGTTAATGTGTTTTATTTTATTTCCTTATGCAGCAATGTATCAATGAAGATGTTGAAAAGGACGATATAAATGATGAAATTCAAGAGGACGACATAAATGATAAAATTCAAGAGGACGACCTAAATGATAAAATTCAAGAGGACGACGTAGATGACGAATTTCAAGAGGACGACATAGATCTAGATGATGAATTTCAAGAGGAGGATATAGATGGTGAATTTCAAGAGGACGACGTAGATGAAGAATTTATGGAGGATGACATATCTAACGAATTTCAAGAGGACGATCTGGATGCTTTACTCCTAGAAGACAAACTTGAATGAGTTGGATGATGTCTTTTTTTTGGCTTGTAGTTGAAAGCATTAAACTTGAAATATGATTTTTGTTCTTTTGCTGAACTATGTTTTTAGTTATTTTACTAGGGTCATACTTCAAAGTATTAAAAGTAATATTGTTACGTTAGGCATTTTGTGTACTCTATATACTATATCTTGAATTAAAGTTTGAACTCGATTTTATTATATTACAACTTTTATGGATGTATGGTTTAAGTTATATAATCAATATTATTTTTGAAGCCAATTATTATTGACTATATTATTTTGATAATAATTGCAAAATTGTATATTTTATGTGGACACTATAAAACAACAACCTATAAGCTATGGCTACACTTCAAAAATGATCTTCCTGATTCAGGTTTAAGGCAACGATTGTTAATTGTAGCCGAATTTGGCAACGCAACGCTTAAAAAACGTTGTCTCAGAGGCCGTAAATAATCGTCCCCTATTCCTTTACTATAGGCGACGTTTTTCAAAAGCGTTCCCAAAAAACATAAAAAAACGTCGCCTCAAACAATAGGCAACGCTCGCACAGGAGACGCCTAGAAAACGTCCCCTATTGTTTTAGGCAACGATTTTCAGAGTTATGGCAACGTTTTTCAATTGTTGCTGGAGAGCCTAAATGTTGTAGTGGTACTACTCCTCACTTCCTTATTTATTTGTTGAATAAGGATAAGACTGGTTTGCCTAAGTTTAGATTTATTGATGTTTAATCGGGTTTTGGCTTAGTCCCCCGTTGTGTTTTCTTCATATCAATTAATCTTCACTTTTATAAAAAAAAATATTTTAAAATAAAAGTCACATTATATTTACTAACTCTTTTATTTATAGATTATTTTATTTTTACTCTATCTTTTATTTTTAATCATTTATACATAATATAATATTTATTTATGTTCTATATTAATTTATGGTATTATTATCTGATATAATTACTTTTTCTTTATTTATAAGCATCAATAACTTGTTATGATTGAAAGTTGAAACTTTATTTAAGATTATTATTCAACTTATTTGTATTAATATATTTTTTTAATTTTATATTTATGAAGCTCATGTAAAAAAAATTATTTCATAAATATATTTTTTAATTTGTATAAACTTAATTAGAAGTCATGCGGTTTAACTAATGATCTACTGTTTCGATCAATAATCCAATGACCAGATATTTTGACCTAGTTGATGATCGGTCCGAATTTTAAAATATCGATTTCATATATGGTATATATTGGAAATTATAATCAGTGTATTATTTTACACTACTATAAAATGGGTAAGC